GTTAACTCCATCTGCGAAACAGCGCTGGAATCCTTATTCTTGGCCCCCACTCGTGCACCAGAATTTGAGTACGCGTCATAATTGGCCTGTTAAAAAGGCCATTGTCGATTTGCCAATCAGGATGAAAAGAAATTCAAAACGCACTTCCGGTAATTCGTTGAGTCCGTTGGGTTCCCAGGACAAGAATATCGTCGCTACTTCGCAGACGTTACCATGGTTACTGACCGATGTTAAATTACGTCTGCGACACAGGCTGACAGCAGTTTGCTGAATGTATTGAAGACATTAAAAAGAAATAATTATTTTTGCAAAATATAAAAAGTCACATTTATTCCTATAATTTACAGTCCTATTTTTTTGCTTAACTAATTTATTTACGGGATTATCCTCTTTTGAATGTAGTTCTACAAATGCCAGTCCGGACCATAACCAGGTATTGTAGTTTTTGAAAATATTTTTTGTAGGAACCAAAAAAATGCTACTCAATCAGCACCCTCCCAGAAAGCCCTTTAGCGGCCCCTTTGCTCAATTTTTCCACAGAATTTCTGGCCAATCACAACCAAAGCTATCACTTATTCGCTTGTTGTATTTCGTCACTCTTTGCCTTTAATTTCGCAAGGTCTCATGGAATATAGCTGAGGACTAAATCCTCTACAGCTCAAAGAAGAGTAGTAGACGAGTTTCCTCAATTTCGGCACCAGAAGCCCTTTTTGATGACGTCATAGAGTATCCAGAAATGGCTATGGCCCGGACTGAATGCGAATCCAATTAACTCTTTTTATTACACACATCTATGTAATCCTCCCGGAAAAATTGTTTGAAATACATTTCTGAAATATCCTTTCAGGAGTCCTTTCATTTTTTTTTTACATGAAAATATTAATCTTAAAAAAATTGGTTCCCCTTCCTTTAAAACGCAAATTTAAAATTAGTTGATAATATAATCTGCCCATTAAACTTGATGCTTCTTTATCTAAAAAAACTGTTGAAACCTATGTAATTTATGAGCACCTTTGTTCAGTGTGGTGCACAAAGTGTTTTTTTTTTAACCAATCATTGGTCTAAATAACTATTGACAAGAAAAACGACTATGACGCAACAGTAATTTCACTGCATCATTATTCCCACGTTTTATCATGATTGTTCTGTGTGTTCCTGTTTATAAAGGGGTGTGAATAAAACGGACACAATCGTAGACTTTTTTCAGATGATCTTTAAGATTATAATTCAAACCTGTCAGACTAGCAATACATCCGCTTCTCAGAATAACAATCAGAGACCACATCAGAAAACATTCAGAATCTTCGAGCAAGCAAGAAAGTTCATGGGGGCTGGGATTTTCCCAAAACGAAAACACTTGATACTGACGTCATACTAAGTCCCAGTTACCCACAGAGTGAGAGCATCGTTTTACGCGGTCCCAGACGGCGTCGGCCCCGCTGGGATTTAGAAGATGAAACCTGCGTGCGGCAAGCATCTAACTACTACGTGTAAATGACTAACTGCATGATCACTTTGTTAGTAAACTTTTAAATTATTTCGGCTAAAAAAGACTAACTGAGTGGCTACATCAAATTCAGACGCTCGTTAAAAAACAATTTCTTTTATATTGGCCTAGCTTCTAGTGTAATAAATGACTTTTTAACTTATTTCAATTAGTATATTACTATCTAAAATAATTCACCTCTTTACTCTCTCTAAAGAGGAAATTCATACGTTCACCTTGAGTTTATTGAAAACTGGAAAAAAGATTTGTTTTTCACCCTCCCCCGCTAAAATCTGAGGAAAATGTAACTAGTATAAGACATATTTCAATTTTGATAGATAAGTCTCATTCTCGATCAGTTAGCTTAGATAGAATGTTATTTTAAAACCTAGCACTAATTTATTATAATTTGGAAGCCGAAGAGAAACTCTCGAGCAGGTTCAAACGGACTGAACTATCCTCTTTTGCTGTCATCAAACAAGTACACAGCTGAAAATGAAACATATAATACACATGAACTTTGGAAGAAACTATCGCACCTACATCTGCATCATAACAAAAAGCTGGAACAGTTAAACAATTCAACTATAGGGATATTAAAGGCATAACCTTGCAATAATGAGAACTAGACGGTAAAAAAGAGCTTGAGGAGCTCAATCGATTTTTTTCATTAAACATTTTCCAACCCAACGAACCCAGCTGAATTCAGGTGAGGGAAACAATGAAAAAACAACAAAAAAACATTTACTAGAGGACTCACCGGCTTTTTTTCTCAACTTGAGAATTCCTGCTTGCCTAGAAAAAAAGCATTCACGCAATCAGTTAGAGCTAACGAATTACTTTTTTCTGCTTTGGAAAAGAAATATACCATACAACATGCCGAAATCTGATTACATAACGGGTGTCACAAGTGCTCTGCTATATTTTAAGGTAACAGGCAAGTCTGATGCAGACCATTTTGGCGATTTTGGACCATTTTTATGGAATACATGGGTTTTCAGCTCCAAGTGTCCCGGACTGCAGAAAGAATCAGCACTAGTTTACGCAACACACGAAGTGTAAGCAATTTTTTTTCGAATCTTTTCAATACAAGTTAGGAGCTACTTTGCACAATGCCATACATTCTATTAAAAAATCAAAATTTGAAGAGATCACATAGAGACTGTACGATTTGTAATATGGTTAAAGGAATTTCTTTTGTTTCTGCGCGCACAAAGTGACCAATCTTGATTGGATAAGATCTTGCTTGTTTCGCTTTTAACCTTGCTCACTCGTGAGGCTACCCGAGTAAGGCTCAGTAGAAGGCGAGGTAGCTAAGCTGTGTTTGTCATAGCTCGAGAAAATAGCGAAAAATTTTCCACGTCAAAACAAGAAAGATGCTAATTAACATTTTTAAATAAACACCCCTTCATATCTTATAACTGCCAAAAAACGGGCGATTGTTATGAAGACGGAAGCTTTACATAGATCGACGTAAGCATGTTTTCAAGTTTAAAACATGTTGAAACAAAAAAAGTAATAAAAACCAACGGCTTCAGCTAGCTTTCATATGAAGGTGAAAACTCTTGCCGATGAGGTGCATAACACACACTTCGATCTGCAAAATTCTCCATATCATACTTGACCTCATCCAATAACTGGTAATTATTCGTTTAAATATTTTTCCGTTTCTCATTGGCCTAAATCCCAGCGCTATTTCCGAAATCCTAAAACATAAGGCACTCTCACGGATAATGGTTCTGAAAAAGGATAACAGAAGGCGTGGTGCATTTAATTTGTTTTGCAAAAAAATAGTCACACTATTTCCTAAAACATAACAAGCACAGTACAAGTAGCACTGATGAGAACTGGTATTTGAGGCCGAATATCTGCTAGACTACATCATACATTTCGGATTCTTCCCTCCTATGTTATGATGACAACGATCGAGGAAAGAATGCTTTTAAGTGTGAAATATTTTTAAATGAATAATAAAATAACTAGTGGGTTCGGTTTTCCTATGATTTCAATAATTTAATGAATAATTCAGAAGCTACTGGAGGGTGGGTGTTATTCTCCTCGCCTGAACACCCTCCTCGATCTGTATGAGTTTTCGTTCTCAGCCATATTCAGTGACTGCTTGTTACTATTCTTAATTACCTCTTGCACATTTTCTGATTGCTGTTCTCCTTCTATTCCATTGGCTTGTTGGTTATTCTGGAAAAAAAATGTAACCTGGATTAGGCTCAAGTACATTAAGCGGACACCCTGTATTAGACCCAAATTTGTTCCCACGTTTTGCGTGAATCTACTCTGTCTGTTATTCACGTTACTGGCTGCTATAGGTTGACAAACTGTCAATTTACAAATGAACCAAACCGTGAAATATCAAGAGGCGTTTTCCAGAATCGCGGGATTTTCGGCTTTCGATCTTCCATTTCTTTTGCTTTGCTTCCAACTCAGTAACTCGACTAGAAACGCTTTCTGATGAAGGCTAATTGATCTTCCTTGACCATTGTCGTATTGTCCAATTACATAACTAAAAATTGATTTTAATTTTAGTGTTTACCAAATCAGTGAACAGCACTTTTTCGCGCGTTTCGATTGGCTCCCGTAAGTCGGAATATCCTTGGCTATTCACTGTTTTGCGACCGGAGCCAAGATGGCGTCTCGCTCCGAGACATTTTTGGAGCACGAAATTTGAGCGATAAATAAAGCAGTCGTGCAAAAAAATACCAAGAGAGCGACTAACTTTGCCTTTTCAGGGTCCACTGGTATAGGTAGAAAATTGTTTTCATCCTGAATTTGCAACAAAATCGTAAAAATGCACTCGAAAAAATCCCAGAAATTTTTGTAAATAGTAAAAAAAATTCGTATTCAGCGACATTTTTAATTTACAAAAAGGTACTTTTTTTTCATTTTTTATCCAACCGATTTGGTAAATACTAAAACAACTATCCCCCTCAGGGTCGGTGAATAGCACTAGATATATACCTCGACACCTCGCGTCTCGATTTAGCTACCGCTATTCACTTCCCCTTCAGGGGATAGTTGTAGAATATTATTGATTCATGACATACTTTAAAGTCAATTAAAAAGTTGAATATTTAACCAGACTTCCCCATAGCTAAAAAGAAACATTTTTGTTCTTAGTGCGATTTGAATCTATTAAACATTCATATCCATATTCTACATAGTTTATAACATAACGCACGCGGATTACATACTTGCTCTGGTGGATCTAATCTCTCTTCTTTGTACAATGTGGCTCCAGAGGGACCGCTAAAAAAAAAGGAATAAGGTATCGTTACATCTGCGTTGGACATCATTCAGAGGGCAAATTCATTTACAGTATATGCGTATAACCAACGCATTTGCCCGTTAAAAAAAAACTTGTCGCGAGCAAATAGCCTGGTTATACGCGTAGGCTGCAAATGAATCCACCGTAAAGGTATGGACAAAAAAGGAGATAAAGTAGTAACATTTAGGGCAAGCCTTCAAGCAAAAAAAAAAATCTCACTCAAATACTGTCAGTTTACCTTTCCATGTTTCCATCGCCTTCGCCCCGCGGCAAATGCACCCTGATAACTTTGAAATTAGGTGTGGAGTACCTCAGGCCGATGACGAGAACACGATTGAAGGGACAGGCTGCTAAACAGTTCACCCGACTTTCCACATCAATTTCAGTTAGAAATTCACCAGATTTGACGTTTAATAGCCGAACAGTTAAATCACCACCAGAAATAACACATGTGTCGTCACTGATAAACGTGCAATGACGAAGAAGGGAAAATGAAAGACCTAAAGTACGGAGTGTGCTTCCTGTTTCGGGATCCAAGACTAAGATGCCGTCAGTCGTGCCAACAACAAGGAACTGTTCCATAGGTGAGAAAGCCACACCCTTATCATTATATTCAGGGAACCTTTCAATGTCTTTCTTTCTCCAAACAACTGTTTCGCCATCCAAAAGCTGAAGACACCAAGGACCAGAACGAAGAAACTGATATGCTTCAAATGTCCTTTTAATTAACAGCTCACATTTACTGTTGCAGGTAAGAACTCTTCCTTGTAAAACTGGGATTGTTGACACAACTTTTCCACTGCTTGTATCCAGGACTTTCACATCAACCTCTGCTATGACTGCTACTCGTTCCTTTGATATAGGGATCAGTTGTTTGACTCCAGGCAAGTTGGTCCACCTTTTAATTCGTTTAGCGAGGTTACCACACCACAACTCAACAGTGCTTTTACTCGTTAAGATTAGGACTCCACCGCTAACAGGACACAAAGGACGGTACAGTGAACGCCCGCATTTTATCTCAGCTTTAAGCTTCCCACTCGACACGTCATAAGCAGTGACTGATGTCATACTTGAAACAAACACGATCTGACCATCCAAACTGATTGCTATCCCAGTAGTTGAAGTAGCTACACCTTGATCGTTTCTGTTTACGTATTTGGTATCCACCATTTCTATTGCATTCCAAAAGGAACGTAGCTGACGTTGCTTGTCAAGACCAAACGTCAATCGAAACGGACGACCTTTTGTGGTAATAAGATCGCCAAATAAAAAGCCACAATCATTGAAAGATTCAAAAGTCTCGGAATCATCGGACACAATCGTTAAAGAAAATGTGTTGTTTGCTTCCTTTACAATCTTGAGACAAAAAAAGGAGTGTTGAAATAAGTCTTCTACAGCGCAACAAAAAATGAATCGATGATCAAGTGCAAACTTTACCATGCCACATACTTCCGGGGTAGCCATTTGTGTTAGTTTTCTGAAATTACACATCACATCATACAAACTAATCACTCCCGAAGAATGTGAAATTACAAGAAGCCTTCCATCACCAGACCATGCAAAAGATAAAATGTCTTCATTTACGAGGATTTGATCAACCTCTAAGCCACTTTCCAAACTCCACAAGACAAGGCATTTAGAACTCTCAAGACAATTAGTTAGAATCTTGGTCTTGTCGCCTGACATGGAGCAAACTGAGAATCTACAGTTACTTCCGAGAAAGAGCGGTTTCAAGTCTCCGTCCATAGAATAGGCCTGACTGAGGATCCCAGGTAAAATACATTCCTTTGTAGGATGGAAAACAACAGAACGGAATAATGAGAGCACGCCAACTGAAGGTAAATTTCTATACACAATGGACCGCCCGATCCTCTTGAAACTCTTCTGTACTAAGACTGGACGTGTCCACACTAGACTACCAGTATAGAGTGACCACAGCTGCAGCATTCCGTCGTCACATTCGCACACCATATAATCCAACTGTGGAGAGACTTCCAAACAGAGCACGGTAGATGAACATTTAAATAGGGCTACAACTTGTGCCCGTTGCATCTCCTTGTGAACAACCTCCATGTATGGAATTTGAGGATATTTATTTTGCAAAAGATTCGACGCTTCAACACCCAACGCTTTTCCTCCTTGGTTAAGTATGGTTTGAAGAGAACTGCGAGGCGTATGCGTAAGTAAATGGTGGTTCCTTCTCAACAGAAACAACAAGGTGTCCAGAAAACTTTGGTTATCTTTTGATAACAACTTAAAACTCTCCTGCCTTTTAAGCCACACGAGATCTTCAGCCGCTATTGTGCTGTTTACACAGGTCTTAGCATACACGATTTCTAAATCAACAATGTAGGCTTTTGTCAGTTCGTTCAGCTTATGTGGCTCTCTCTTGTCGCCTTCGTGTAGCATGTGATGTGCACCATGATACAGCGCGTACCTCTCAGTGGCGCTAAATTGTAGGTTATGTACACCTTTCCGTTTCATATTTTCGAGTTCGTCAGTACACAAGGCTGCTAGTATACGATGTCCTTCATTTTCATCCACGATGAATTCATGCTCGCCATAACATGAAACGTCTGTTAACCAGTCTTTAACTGACTTGTGAATGACATGAAGACAATCATCCCGGGTGGGAAGAAGTGCAGACACACTGCTTAAGGATCTCACTACTTTACGCCTAGCAAGTGGTGCATCGGTACCTGGTACTAATACTTTACAAACAAAACCAACTGGCAGGGGCTCCCTTGAAGCGGCAACAGCAGATAACAGATTTACGAAATGTTCTTCCTTTATGTGTAGATCCTCACAAAGTTCACATTCCAAACGTTTGAAATAGGAACGATAAAATGAGGAAATTCCTAATGGTAAACTGTCATCAAGGTCTCCCTCGTGGAAAATTGATGGATTTTCAGTTATCAACAATACAAGGAAATGGGCATATAGCATCAGTCCTTCAGACCTCAAAACTAGTTTGTTTACATACTCGCCTAAATTTCCTATCTTGACCACGTGCTCCAGCCTTTTATGAAAATACATTCTGACGTCTTCAACATTCTTTCCATCATTATACTTCAGTTCGAGTGGCTTCAAATGCTTCAATTTATCTGTAATGTTTAAGGCTGGACGCGTTGTGACGAGAAAACGAATCCAAATAGGAAGCTTACAAAACTGATTTGCAATCACATCAAGAAGCTCATTTCTTCCCTTGTATTCGCTTTCATCCAAACCATCTATCACCATTAGCATGTTTCTTCCTGGGTCACCTACAGCACTTAGTGGTTCCTTGAAAAGCAACGCAAACAACTCCTCAACACCCATGTTGTTGAGATCTGTGCCCAGATTTCTTGATAGCTGTTCCACAAGAGCTCGCTTGTACTCTAGCAGAGCATTGGACAGATGGCAGGCAAGCGACTGAATCATCAACCGAGGCTTACAGTAGCGTACATTGTTATACTGACAAAAGTGGCTTCCTGACAGTCTGCCAGCTTCTTGCATTCTCTTGCACATCACAGCTGCGATCACAGATTTTCCCATCCCTGCATTTGCACTGATCACCATCACGCGGGTTTGGGAGCTCCTGTCATCCAGCCAGTTCAGAACCCCGTCAAATACCCACTCACGGGTGCCTTCTTGGAATCTCTGAACATAATACTCAATGTCTCCACTGAATTCAGAGTTGGTGAGATTTCGAAGGACCTCGTCTGAACTATCTTTGTCTTTTCCTTCTTTTAAACTATAAACTGCTTCCTTTATTTCCTAAAGACCTGTTGCAACTTCTACCACGTTCTGATTCACTTCCTTAACGCTTTGGTGTGTTCGGGTATGTGTCTGATGCATGTCTTCTAATCTCTTTTGAGTCTTGGCCTGGGTCTGCTGTATGTCTTCCACTGTCTTTTGAGTACAGGCCTGGGTCTGCTGTATGTCTTCTACTGTCTTTTGAGTACTGGCCTGGGTCTGATGTATGTCTTCCACTGTTTTTTGTGTACTGGCCTGGGTCTGCTGTATGTCTTCCACTATCTTTTGAGTACTGGCCTGGGTCTGCTGTATGTCTTCCACTGTCTTTTGAGTACTGGCCTGGGTCTGCTGTATGTCTTCTACTGTCTTTTGAGTACTGGCCTGGGTCTGATGTATGTCTTCCACTGTTTTTTGTGTCTTTGCCTGGGTTTGATGCATGTCTTTCACTGTTGTTTTAGTATAGACCTGGGTCTGCTGTATGTCTTCTACTGTCTTTTGTGTCTTGGCCTGGGTCTGATGTATGTCTTTCACTGTTGTTTGAGTATTGACCTGGGTCTGATGTATGTCTTCCACTGCCAGACGTACATCTTGAACTGCTTGAAGTGTTTGGTTTTGGGACTGATGTATGTTCTTCAACTGTGACTTGATATCCTCTTCACTGTCAGCCCAATCAATCAACACGTCAATATAATCTTGCTCTCCACCTTTTTCCGCCTTAAGTCTATCTACTTCAGCCCGACCAAGGCCAAGACTTACAAGAACACCACTAATTTCAGTCCACAGAGCAGAGAAAGTTGGTGTATCAACACCAGTGGTTGTCACATGACCATACACAATATTGCGATAAATCTTAACCCGTGCAAGGTTAGCCTCATGAGACGTGTCACTCGGAAGTGGTTCAGTGTGCCATCCTGAGGGGGGAGGGGTTAGTCCACAAATGTTGGTCAGAAGGAGAAAAAGAAGAGTGATGTCAAAAGTTTTGGAGTCTGCTGCGACTCCCCCAGGTGGGAACAGTTTGTCCCACTGATGGCCATTTAGAACTCGACGACTTAAGAGATTGTTGAGAATGGAGTAATTAGCATTTAAGTCAATAATCAAGTTTGCAGGAGGATGATGACCATCAAAAATCTTCCTAAGAAGTGTTGTTCCACCGTCGATAAGAAGCCTGCTGAGCTTGGCTCCATTTGTCTTCTCCACAGAACTGGCCAGCGGTGATGGTGTTACAGTAGCCATGAAAAGGTCCACTGCATATTCCTGCAGGGGGAAGAAAAACAGTGCAAAGTTGTTTCTGTTACTATTCTATTCTGCAGCAAATATGAGTGGATAGATCTGGCTTAAAAGCAACATAAATGTTCTAAACCTTTTAATACAGTACATTAGCTTATTTTTTAGCTGCCTTCAGCCTCTTTATGAAAGTGATTCCTAGTGCACAACTTTTCACGAGAAGATGCGTTAAATAATTTGCACGTAAAAATGTGTTTTACGTATAAATAGATAGGCACCAAGACTGACTTTCAAGGATAGGCAGAAATGGCCAGTGTTTACGTCATAAAAATGATTGCTTATTTCAAACTTGTGAAAAAATTGACGAATAAAATTTGGTTAAGTAAATTCTTGGCAGTAACAGCCTCTTTCTTTTCAAAGCTTTGGTATAACAAAAATTAGATAAATGTTAGATCACGTAATTGTTAATAATTTATTTGATACACTTGACTGATCCTAGCTATCAGATATCGGGGAGTGAAGCTGAGCACCACCCCATCCGCCTTCTTTTCTGTTGACTTTACCTCAAGTTTGTTAATACTTTGGTGGACACTCTTGACTGACTGTAATCATACCCTGTCCTTAGATATCAGATATTGGGGAGTAAAGCTGAGCTCCACCCCAAACCTCTCCTCCCCTCTGTTTTCCTCTGATGCTGTTCCCAGGAACAGGCTACTGTTATAATCATCCTCCATTCAATTCACAGAACAGACAGTACAGATTGACTGACAAGGCTCGAAGATCGAAATATATTTCGAGGATTTTAAACTTCTAGAACATTTTTATTTTTACATTTTACATTTTTGATACGTGCGTCGAATGTGGTGAAGACGTGATGTCTTATTTTGCAAGTAATTCAAGTTGAAGCCGACTCCGTCGCTAGTGAAAACCAGCCTTTTGAAATATATACAGGTTCGCTGTCTGAACAGCACGTTTTTGGAGGAAAATAATGTTAACAGCCGTGGTCACACTACAGACTTTTACCTAGGTAAATCAGATTTACCTAGGGCAAATTCAAAATCTTTAAAGTTGTCGTCACGTAAAACGGTATCAAAACATACGCACAGAGATTGACTACCTGTAGTGTAGTCAACACAACTTGTGCGCTCGTAAAGTACTTTTCGACTCGTGTTGAGTCATGGGGTTGTTGCATCGGGTTTTTAACTCGGTCGGTGAAAATGTAACATTCGTTCACTCGAGTGTTTGCTACAACGGCCACCCTGGATGTAAGGGAAACAGTTCTTTGTACAAAGGAGCCCGCAGTAAGAAACGGTACAAAATTAATTCGTATAATAATCATCCCTGGGTATTGTTATTCATGGCATTATAATAAGGTACGGGGAATCAATCTGACCTGGGACAAGCCCAAGACAGACTGAATTGAATACATGAATAGGTAATCTGAAACCCGACTTACTCGCAGGGGAGGGCGGGTGACGGGGGGTGACAACTCTAACAAAGGCTGTTTGGGCAGTCCTACGAATAACTTTATGTCCTCCCGGAAATTTCGTCGACCCTCCCGAATTTTTCGGTGGCATTCCCCATAAATTTTTTTAACAATTGAAATTAAAATTTTGATAAGAGACTTTTTGCAGCTTCTTGTTAATTATGTAACTTGTTAATTATCTAACCTTAGTTATTTCTTCGTTTGGAGGGTATCATGTTAACACAGAGAGACTGTCAAACTTTTTAAGTACATAAAATCGTGTTTTTTTGTTTTTTAATCACCGATTAATCAGGCGAGCAGTGAAGGGGTCAACCACTAGGGAGGTCTGGGGGCATGCTCCCCCAGAAAATTTTGAAATCTTGGTGCTCTGAAACGCCATTTCTAGTGTCCCGAGAGGACAAATTCTGTCCAAAATGTTCTCTAAATCAATTGTCCTTTTTATGCTTATTTTTATTGGCGTGACTTCGCGTAGAAGTAGTCAATTTTATTTTATACAAGTTGTGGGGTTTTTGAAATTGCTTTAGGTATCACTTTCATCGAAGTATACTCTGTGTGGTGTCATTGTATGAGTATCGTAAGAATTCAGTTGAAAATTTCAGAACAACTGTCGAAATCTGAAATTTTCCTATCCCGAACGCATATTGATCGGGATTCGGGATTTTCGGGCAAAATCGGAAGGACCCCGACGAGATCAGGATGATTAAAGGTTCTTCACAGACATACTACTTTTTATGGCCTTATTTGTGTTTAACAAGGTTAAATGAGTTTCGTTTTTTTTTCTTACATACTTCTTACGTACTTCTTTCAAGTTTTCCAGTATGCAATCAGTGGAATGTGCTCTTAAAACTCGTTAACGAGCAGCGTAAAAATACTCCTGAACTAATGAATGATGGGATCTGGTGTGAACTGATAGTATGTGCCTTGCACCGGTACGATTCTTGTGTCAGTCCGCTGGGGATTGCACGCGGTCAGTTGCAATCGAACTTCATGCTTTTTTAGTTGGAAACGTTGCTGATTGGTCTTTTCATATCATGGGGAGTTCAGCCGTTTTCAAGTGTCAAAATACATAGAATACAGCGCATACACTGGGTGCATTTCTCTGTATATATATTGTTTGATAACATGTAATATCAAATCTTTGCTCAATGCCCCGAAAATATCTCATATTTCCCGAAAATTTCCCAGGTTTCCCGATTCCCGGCAAAATCTCCAGATTCCCGGAATAAATTTGTTTTTCTCCCGAAACAGCCCTTGTTAGAGCTGTCACCCCCCGTGCGGGTGGGTCGCCAATCACCTTCGTGTCCGACAAAGTGAAGTGAATGGGACAATGTGTGCCAGTGTTTCCTATTATATATACTCATTTGCATATCATTAATTAATCCCCAGGGATAATATTTACAATTCAGATGGAAAGTGAATAGGCTCCTTTGGCTTCTTCAGGTTGGCGCATTTTAAAACGTCAGCGTGAGTTTCGGATATAACTGCAGTTCAGTGGGGTAACATGCAAATCAGCACAAGTTCTTGAATTGTCACGCAAAGATATTGGTCCGGCATACCTTAAAAATATTTGTGAATTCAAGACATCCGGTTAATATTGCTCTTTCTTGTGTAGTTAATTTGATGGCTTTTAAGAATTTCGCAGTAGCATCAACAACGTACCTTTCAGGATGTTCCAAATACACCACTAGAGAAGATGATCCTGTTCGGATCAGCTTTTATAGTCGACTTGTATATTCCCTGATTACCTTTATCCGACTCAAGGTGATAAGTCTTTAAAATCGCTCTAAATAAACGATTAAAAGCAGACCGTCTCTGGATTATTCTACAAAAAACCCGCTGGTGTGAGATGGATATAAATCCGTCTCTGTTGTATCAAAAGCTTTTTAGGTGACAATTATTGCTTCAAATAAAATCTATTAGAGGATGATTACATGCAGGAAACTCAAATTCGTGAATATATTTGGATTATTTAAAGGGTGATAAACAGCACGAATTGTTGCAATCAAAAGCGGAAGTGAATTTGCTAATTCAAGGGCAAAGAAAGCAAATCAGTTTTTGTACATTAACCACTCGTGTAACTAACCTGCCTTGGGACTTAGCTCGCCCTCAATAGGAGAGTAGACATCACCAACAATAGCAGCGCCGACAACAGCAACAATAGACACGGATCCGCCGAAAATAGCCCAGCCTCAGCCCAAGGCGCTCTCTGCTCGTGAGATGTGACGTCACCGAGAGAGACTCGCTCGCCAGCCTTTTCCCAGACTTCGCGCGGACAACGGGGCAAGAGAGACCACCCAGGGACTAGGCTGAAAATAACCGACGTCTCTAAGCTGATTCTCAGTCCCAGGGTATTTTGCGGGTCGCCGAACGATGGTCAGCGGTATATCATGTTAAACATTTGTGTCATGTCAGTGAGTGACTGGATGAAAAATAAATAAAAATTCTTTTCTACTGATTTACATATTTTTGTCTTGTGCCAGTGAAGGGTGTGCTTTCTAGAAAACCTTTTGCCCGTGTCAGGCTCAGAGATAGTGGGAACGTAGCGAAAACAAGCCAAGCAAAAATATAAAGAGTTACCACACGTTTTTCGAAGTCACGATCTGTGCACAGCACTATCTTAGAGCCTGGAATAGGCAAGAAAAACTTCTATCAATAGTTCTTTTAAAGTGATGTATGGAATTTAAAGTTCGCATTTCCACAAGAACAAAGGGCGCTGGTCATCGCCATTGTAGTAAATGAGACTAGCCTCAGGTTGTCGGGTTTTGGTTTCGGAAGCATTAATTTCTCCCATAGCGTCGCTGCGAGGATGGTAATTCGGGATTGTCGGGGCTAAGAAAATGCAAATAATAGCTGGAAAGTCAGATTATCACGCGAGCCAACTCGGTGGGAGCGATATCCGTCTCGGCGGACTAGCTAACATCAGCAGGTAGAGGCTGCGAGGCGGGATTTGATCAGTAGCCAGCCCCGCAGAAACAGTCACATGGTACAAGCGTACAGCTGAATCAGAAGCTTGAACGTAGACAGCAGTTAGCCACCTGCGCCACAAACGGAACTAAACTTCTAGTTAAGTCCGTCTGCGAAACAGCGCAGAAATCCTTGTTCTTGGCCCCAGTCTGTGCACCAGAATTTGAGTACGCGCCATGATTGGCCTAGTAAAAAGACCATTCTCGATTTGCCAATCAGGATGAAAAGAAATTCCAAAATGCACTTCCGGTAATTCGTTGAGTCAGTTGGGTTCCCAGGACAAGAATATCGGCGCTGCTTCGCAGACGTTATTAACCGTGGTTAAATTTTCTCTGCGATGCCGGCTGACAGCAGTTTGCTGAATGTATTGAAGACATTAAAAAGGAAATAAGAATACTTGCAAAATATAAAAAGTCACATTTATTCCTATAATTTACAGTCCTATTTTTTTGCTTAACTAATTTATTTAGGGGATTATCGTCTTTTGAACGTAATTCTACAAATGCAGGAGCCGATAATCGGCTCCTGACAAATGCCAGTCCGGACCATAACCAGGTAT